GCCCAACACCAGTAGAAGAGGCATATAGGGAGTGCAGGGACTCGGCATCCAAGAGATGTCACCTTGGACAGTGGCAATTATCAGCTAGCACATTCGCAAAAACAACTTTGAAGCCCAGGCACCTCATTTTTCCATGGAATGAGGTCTTGCATCTCTCCCCTATACATCTACTGTCTCCCTCAAGTATTTTGGAATGTAACACCCTAATTATTACCCTCACTAACATGTTTAGCCTACTACTATGTTGCAAACAGGGTCTCTTATTGCTCTGAATAGTCTGAATTTAATGGGAAAGGAAATCTGTTTTACAGATGAAAATCTGTGGCTCAGCAAAGTTAAGTATTCCATCAAGTTTTTACACAACTGGTAAAGGGAAGGATCTGCTATTCCAACTCAGGTCTGCTGCCCCATATTGTGTTCTTTCCACTTTGTGATACTATCTCTAATATTTAGTTCCCTATAAGATTGCAATTGAAATACAATTCTCAGAAATTAATCATTTTTTAATCTTCACTTTTAACCAACAAATACGTTTTCCTATTTGATAACTGTAATCTGAAAACTGCTACATATTAATAAAAACTGACACTGGTTTGTTTTTAGGTGTTCATTTATGCAGTGTGAATGAAGTCAGCTGTGTAAAAGTGACAGGAGAGAGAATTTCTTGCGGCTCATTAGTAGAACATACAGCAGCAATCAATTGTAGTATTTAATAGTCACCGCACATGCAAGATAGAGATTTATTTCAGCACAGGAATTAAACTTGAAGAAAGCAGAGAAGAAATAAAAGATTGGAAGCGATCATAGGAGTTGACCAAAAAAATTAGGCTTTCACCAAGTTTCATGATCCTTCCAGTTTTAAAATCACATGTATATCTAAGTTGAACCCAAAGTATTTTCCTGATATTTCTCTCCCCTTACAAAATCTGTTTTACCATTCTTAATATTAATAATATAAGTTGCCCAAGATATTAATCACACAATTGATTTTAGGGATAATCTCACAGCAACAACAAAATAATAATTATTTAATAACATGTTAAGCACTTTCTTTGTATCACACATTATATCAATTTCTTTACATGAATTAACTAATTTAAGTTTAACGACATGTCTATGAAGTTGGATATTAATATCACTATCATGAGAAAGTAAGGTACTGAGAGATTGAAGCAATTACATGAGATTATATACATCTACAAAGTGGTAGAATTGGGATGTGAACCAAAGTAGTCTGGTTTCAGAGTCTACTCTCATAACTCACCAAAATGCACCTCCTTTCCATCTGAACTGTATTTGCCTGAACAATATGTCACTATGTTCTCTCCCTAAATCCAGTCAACATCATAATATGCACAAATAGGCAAAGATACTAAGTATAATTATTTTTGTTAATGAAAGTAATTATGAATTTAAAAAATAGTCTTGGTTAATAGAGAAGGGAACAGAATGTCATAGTCCAGAGAGCAGACAGGAGGAACACAAAGAGACGCTAGTGAAAACTCACATCTTCTGTAAGACCTGGAAAGTCAAAAAGGCACTACAAACATTGTCTTTGGATAGGAAGTCTAGGAATACAACGTTTATCTGAACATAAAGGCAACAGCCTGAGAATGTATAGTAACAATTTTGACAGGGCTCTAAGCAACTAGAATAACTAGATTATATCAGACCTTGAGACAATGATAGGATCCTTAGTTCACGTTTTGAGTAAAATGTGGAGCTTTTGGATTGTATACACAAAGAATAACATTATCTTTCCTACATTGTATTGATGATTCTGTGTACCGTGTTTAGAATGAACCATAAGACCCAAGGATGGAAGCAGTAAGAACAGTTAAAAGGTGATATTAATAATCAAGGATAAAGGAGATGATGCTTGACTAGGTGATAGGAGTAAAGGAGTGGAGAAGTGGTTGGTTCTGCGTATGTTCTGGGATCTCCGAATTGTTAGAAGTGTTGAATTGGAGTTTAAGTCACAGTGGAGGGTCAGGAATGACTGTGGGTTCTTTCATACATTGATCATTGTGGTTTTTAAATCTGTCTGTACCTCAGAAAATATGTCTGACTTCTCACTTGTCCTCTTGACTGGCATGTCTAACAGTCGTCTCAAACTTAACACAGTTAAAATCGAAATACTAATCCACATACAAATGTGTAGAATATACTGTGTTTGCCCCTTCAGAGATAATTTCTACCTTTTTCCCCCTTATATTTGCTCTAACTTACTAACTGCATCATACTTGTTATTCCTTCCACCATTTTCCATTCTACAAAAATGTAGTATGTTTTGTTCTATATTTCTTTATATGGCTGATGCCATATTATTATGCAGGTCCCTATTCAAATATAACTTCTTCAGATCATCCCTCCAATTCTGATTACTCTATCTTATTAGCCATTTTTATAGTTTTTTTTTTTTTTCTTTTCCAAAGACTTCTATCTGTGTTTATATTTCATTTTTACAGAATATTCATTCACTGTTTTGGTCTCTCACTGTAATGTAAGCAATACTAAGGGGCTGTGTTATAGAAGCTTCTCTTCCTGGGACTGCCAGGGGCGTGGTTTCAAAGGCAGGAGTTTCCCGACTCCATGCCTCCATCCAGGAACCAGAGGGGTTTCAGGTGTAAAGTTCTTTGTCTGGGTTTCCGGCGCCCAGACTAGGTAGAGAAAGCCAGGCGAGTCTCCTTTGTCCCAAAAAACTGTAAAGCTCTGGGAGGAGGGGACTCTGTAACTCTTGTGGACCAAGCAGCCAATCCAGTATCAGAGTCAAAGATCAAATCACTCCAGAGGAATTTTGAAAGAACTTCTCTCACTGGACAAGAACATGAATGGAAAGCGAGTAACTCAAGCGTTAAAACTCCAGCTGCTCCCTACCTATAGGGATTCCTTCTTTGGGTTCCCTCCCAGGACACCGTGGGAGCTGTCTTCTTTCTCTTTCTCTGTCAAATAAATCGCTTTTCTTCAAAACTCTTTGGGTCCGCAATATTTATTGAAACGGTAAGCTCACCATGCCACTGTGGCCCTTTTCCCCATTCTTCGTGGTTAGCAAGGCCAAAACCCTATGTGATCTGGGGATTAGGATTGAGTCCTCTCTCCCAAGCAGTCTGGGTCAACTCCCAATGTGGGGGCCAGGCAATCTGGCTGAAGTTTTGCTCCCTCCGTTACAAAGGATCGTACATCTTACCTTTGTATTTCTAATATGTCACTTTCCCAAGTACCTAGTACACAATGTCTACGGCATGGAAAATCATGAATGAATGAATGAATGTAACCATGTTATTAAGCAATAGATAACTATTTAACTTTGCATTTAATATGTATTAACAACTTATATTAACCTTTAAGATGATAATATCTTCTCTGCATTATAGGCATAGAGGTAAAACACTTTTAAAATAAAACATTCATTATGTTTTATGTTTAATTCATATAGAAATGGTCAGAATAAAATTTTCTCATTAAAGTCAGTTATTAAATATTTTGGTTTTAATGCATAATTTAAAAAATATGTAGACATATTTTTAATGTCATTATGTATATATTAGTAGCTAAATTTACTTAACATCAACTTGGCACTACCAAAAATGACTATAAGACTTTGCTTTAACATTTTAAACATTTAAAGTATTTAATATCTAAATCACATTTAGATTTAGGTCAAATTTGTTTTAACAAGCAACTTTATTGGATGAAAGCTTATATGCCAATATGAATAGTGAATATTTATAGAATATTCACTATTAAGTGATCTATTAGGTGGCAGCATATTTGGAATTTTATTCCAAGTATTTCTGTCTCCAAATTTATACAGTACCCTTTTTAAAATAAGGTCATCAGTTATGAACACCCCTATCTTCCGTTTCCCCAAGCCAGTATATAAAATACTTAAAAAAAATACAACTTTAAGCATGCTAGCCAGTTCATCTACTCAACTGATTCTTTCGTCTAGTATTCTGACACCAATTGTTTAAATTAGGACTTAAAATTCAATAATTATACGATTTTTCCTGTTTTTTTTTTTTTTTTTTTTTTTTTTTTTNTTTTTTTTTTTTTTTTTTTTTTTAACCCCTCTGATGTTTATTTTTCCATTATTATTCAGGATGAATTTCAGGATTTATCACTAGACCCAAGTTATCTCTTAGTAGAGTTGTAGAATTATACTATATTTTTGTAGTTCATTCACCTTTCCAATTTTCTAGAAAGCCATCCTATATTTCTCTTCTCCTATTATATCTCCAATTCTTCTTCCATCATCCTCTCTCCAAGGAGAAGATTTTAATTCCTATTTTATTTGAAAAAGTGAGCAACCAGAAAACATTTTTTACCTTGCTTCTATTAGCACGTATCCTAAAGTCATTTGAGATCATACAGTCTACCTTCTGTACTGTTAGTTTGTATAAACTGCCTATGTTCCTTTCTTAGTTCCCCATAGATGCACTAGATCACATCTCCTCTTGCTCAGTTTCTCTGTGAAAAACATGCACAAAATGGTCCTGAAAAGCAACTGCCAATACTTTTGTTTCCACATATTCTCTAGTGAGTTTTTATCCTCATCACTCCACAAACAACGTTCACGTCAAGGCTACCAGCTACTTCCATGTTGCTAAATTTAATTGGTCTTGATGTTACTCAACAATTATTGCAGGACGGGACACCATTGAGCCCTCCTTTTATTCACTTGCTTCTGAGACATCTACTTTTCCTGCTTCTCCTCCTGTTTCATTGGTGATATGGTTAAGATATTTTTCTTCATTCAGATCTCATGTTGAAATGTAATCCCCAATGTTGGAAATGAGGCCCAACTGGAGGTGTTTGGCTTATAGAGAAGGATCCCTCATGAATGGCTTGGACCATCTCCTTGGTGGTAAGTGAGCTCTGCCTCTGAGTTCACAGAAGTTCTTGACACTTAAAAGTGTGTAGCACCTCACCCAGCACTTGCTCCTGCTTTTGTCATTTAAGCTGTCTATTTCCCTCTCACCTTATGCCATGATTATAAGCTTCTTGAGGCCTTCCTAGAAGCCAAGCAGATACCAGCAGCATGCTTCCTGTAAAGACTGCAGAACTGTGACCCAATTAAACTTATTTTCCTTATAAATTACCCAATCTCATATATTTCTTTATAGCAATGCAAGAATGGCTTAATACAGAAAATTAGTATTGAAAAACAGGGCATTGTTATGAAGATACCTAAAAATGTGGAAGTGGATATGGAACTGTATAATGGCAGAGGCTGCAGGAGTTTGGAGGCTCAGAAGAAGATAGAAAGATGACAGAAAGTTTGGAACTTCTTAGAGGCTGGTTAAATGATTATGACCAAATTGCTGATAGTAATATGGACATCAAGTCCAGGCTGAGGAGGTCTCATATGAAAATGAGGAGCTTACTTGGAACTGGAGCAAAGGTAACACATGATATGCCTTAGCAAAGAACGTGGCTCCTTTGTGTTTATACCCTAGGGATCTATGGAGGTTTGAACTAAAGAGGGACAATTTAGGGTATCTGGCAGAAAAAATTTCTGTGCAGCAAACATTCAAAATGTGACTTGTCTGCTTCTAACAACCTATGCTCAGATGCAGAAGTAAAGAAATGAGTTAAAGTTGAAACGTATTTACAAGGGAAGCAGAGTGTAAAAGTTTGGAAAGTTTGCAGACTAGCTACATAGCAGAGAAAGAAAAACACTTTTGGGGGGAAGGGGAATGAAAGCAGGCTGTTGAGCATCCACTTGCTAGAGAGACTTGCATAACTTAAAAGGAGTCAAGTGCTAATAACCAAGATAATGGGAAGGAGGCCTCAAAGGCATTTTAGAAATTTCAGGCCACCCCTATCATCACAGGCCCTGATGCCTAAAAGGACTGAATGGTTTCAGGGACCAGTCCCAGGGCCCTGCTGCTCTGTGTAGCCTCTGTTCCCCGCATACCAGCAGCTCTGAATTCATTTTCAAAAGGGTGCCAGACACAGCTTGGGCTGCTTCTCTAGTGATGCAATCCATAAGCCTTGGCAGCGTCCATGTGGTATTAAGCCTATGGGATCTATCAAGCGTTTTTTACTTTTATACAGCCTATGGGTTAATACCACAAAGTGTAAGAGTGAAAAATGCTTGATCGATTCTACCTGTATTTCAAATGCTGTACAAGAAAGCCTGAGTGCCCATCAGAAGCCTACTACAGCGTCAGGGGCACCACAGGCAATGTCTATTAGGGAAGTGTGGAAATGTAAGGTTGGAGCCCACATACAGTGTTGCCACTGGGGCTCTGCCTAGTCAAGCTATGAGAATTAGGCTACTGTCCTCTAGACCCCAGAAGAGCAGAATAGTAAATCCACTGGCAGCTTATGCTCTGCTCCTGGAAAAGTGCAGGCATTCAAAACCTGTGAGAGTAGTCATGGGGAATATAATCTGCAAAGTCACAGGAGCAGTGCTGCCCAGAGCTTTGGGTACTTGCTCCTTGTACCAGTGTGCCTTGGATGCAGGATATGAAGTCAAAGGAGATTATTTTGAAGTCTTAAGATTCAATCACTCTTCTACTGGTTTTCAGATTTGTATGGGGCCTGTAACACCTTTCTTTGGCCAAATTTTTTCCTGTTGGAGTAAGGAATGTTTACCTAGTGCCTATACCCACATTGCATCATGGAAGTAAATAACTTGTTTTGATTTTACAGGCTCATAGATGGGAGAAAATAAATCTCAGATGAGACTTTTGGCTTGAACAGAACTTGAAGTTTGAGTTAATGATGGAATGGGTTAAGACTTTAAGGAGACATTTGAGAAGAGATTATTGTATTTTGAAATGTAAAAAGGAGATGAAATTTGGAATGGACTAGGTGTGGACTGATATAGTCTAAATATATGTCCCTTACCAAACCTCATGTTGAAATATAATTCTCATTGTTGGAGGCGGGGCCTAGTGGGAGCTGTTTGGATCATGGAGGAGGATCCCTCATGAATGGCTTGGGCCATCCCCTTGGTGATAAGTGAGCTCTTGCTCCCAGTTCACACAATAGCTAGTTATTTAAAAGTGTATGACACTCCCCCCCCCACTTCTTTCTTGCTTGCTCTTGCTTTCACTGGGGAGGTGCCTATTACCCCTTCACCTCTGCTATGACTGTAAGCTTCCTGAGGCTTCCCTAGAAGCCAAGCAGATGGTAGCACAATGCTTCCTCTTAAGCCTGCAGAATGGTGAGTCAGTTAAACCTCTTTTTTTTTTTTAAAGAAATTACCCAGTCTCAGATATTTCTTTATATAAATGCAATAACAACCTAATACAATTGACAACTTATATTTTCTGTTTTTTCCAAAAACTTTAAATATCGGAGTAGCCCAGAGATCAGTCCTTGAATATCCTCTTTCTTTGTTCATACACATTGTCTTGGTGATCTCATTCACCTCCAAGATTTTCAAATCTAAACTGATGCCCACATGCTCATCCTTCCAGCCTGAACTTCTACCCTGAACTGGTGTATAGAATAGTCTCCTTCACATCCCTGTCTGGAAAGCATATACTAATTTCAAACCTGACAGGCACAAGAACAAGCTTTTGCTTTCCCTTACTGCAAAGATGTTTTTGTCCAAATATTTTCCATCTGAGTAAAAGAGAATTTCATCCTTTTATTTAATCAATCCAAATATTTTGAAGTTTTTTTGTGTGTGCCCTCTTTCTTTTACAGACCATATTAAATTGCCATCCATTAGCAAATCCTGTTGATTCTTTCTGTTTTAAAGAATAATCCATCCACTTCTTAAAGCTCCCATTACTACTAAACAGCTGCTTGGATTACATGATGTAACGACCCAATGGGTTCATTTTGTCTACTGCCCAGAAAAACCAATACATTAAGAACAGAAAACATTGCAGCAAAAGAGTTTAATTATCTCAGGGCCAGCCAAGCAAAAGGACAGAAGACATTTGTTAAATTTGCTTCCCTGAAAGCTCAGAGGCTTGGTTTTTTAAGGATAATTTAATGGGCAGCGTTCTAAGAAATGGATGCTGCTGATTGGTTGGGGATGAAATCATGGGCGTGTCCAAACTGTTTTTACACACTGAGTTAGTTTCCAGGTAGGAGCCATTTCCTTGGTATACATCGTAGGGTCAGGTTCAGTCAATCAGTTGCCAGAATATAAAAGTCTGAAAAATATCTCAAAAGCCATACTTAGGTTTTGATAATAGTTATGTTATACATAGATGCAATTGGGGAAGCTACAAATCTTGTGACTTCTGCAACAGTAAATGATTATAGAAAGGCAAGCTGGAGAATGACAGTTATCATTTAATGATGCCTATAGCTTAGCAGAAATCAGATTTGTTCCATAATCCTAATGTTGTGACCTTTAATTAATTTTATAAGGAATTTCAATCCTTAAGCAAGGAACCAGAGGGACTGTTATTATTATCATTGTTTTAAAGTTAACAAAGGCAGTTGAGAGGTCAGAAGCATGATGGAGTCAGGTTAGACTTCTCTCCCTGCTATAATTTTTGCAAGAGTGGTTTCAGCCCTATCTAACTTCTCTGCATTTTAATCTCTTCTATTTTGTTAGCCAAGGTCCTGAAAGGAAACAAATAGCACCCTCAAATTTATGAATTATAAGGATTTAATAAAATGATTGTTTGTAAAGATGTTGGGATGGTTTGGAAAAAGCAACAGAAAAAAATGCAGTAGTTGGGGCTGGAAAAAATAGAGAGTGATTACCATACCCAGGCTTGGAGAATCTAGGAGAAGAAGTAGTTACCAGACCCAGGGGAGAGCTAGATGGTAAGGGCTGTGACTATTGCTAATGCTTGTGAAACATAATGAAAAACAAAATCTGTCAGTTGAGAGAAGGTTTTCACAAAGGTAAAAAGAAAAACAATTGTTAAACAAGCATTAAACTAGAATGTGACTTGCGTCACAGGCAGTTTGCTAAGAGATTTCAAAGGCAGAAAAAAATCTCGGTCTCTTACCAATACAATATATATATATTCTCAAGATGATAACTTGTCCTCAAGTAAGAGGACTTGATAGCAACATTTGTCATAAATACTTCATCATCAATTCACCTGGCTACTCGGGTGACCATCAGTGTTAGCTGACTTTATACAAGGGAAAACTAAACCTCACATTGTTTAATGACAGGAGATAGTTTTGCACCTTACAGTGAGATGCCTACTGAAGTTACCCTTCCACTAAAATCTGAAGATAACAGCACTATCTTCTTTGACTACACTTCAAAGAGATGGTCCCCAGGTCTTTAAGAAAGCCATTACTGAGGTAAAAGCTAGCAAAGTGCTTATCTAGATCTAAAAAGATATACATACATTTCTAATAGATAGAGATAGAATATATAATTACAAGTCTTCTAAGTAAATAAGAGAAGGGAGGGGATAGAAAAGGAAAAGGGAGTTAAAAACCCCTTTTTTTTAATTTATATTTGCCCTTGCAAGAAAGATGGAATAAACCCTCAATGAATTGTCAGAAAAGGCAGATAAATAGTTTTTATCTTGAGCTCATACTTATTTTTTTTTTAGTTTATTTATTTAACTTTAGGTGCATACTGTATCTGGCATTTCTCCCCATGTTATCCCTCCCCCCCTCCCT